GTAGGGCCGGCCGAGTGGCTCAGTTGCTTAAGAGCTCGCTCAAGAGTTTGAGCTCTGAGCAACAGCAGCTCGAGTTCCGGCCCGAGCTGAGCAGCCGCTGAGCTGCCAACAGGTGGCAGGATGGCTCAGCTAAAAAAAAAAAGCAATTGTATTTCTATACACTAGCAATGAATAATTAGGGATTAAAATTCTAAAATAATTTGTACAATATCAAGAAATATGAAATACTAAGGGATTGATCTGGCAAAAGATGTGCAAGACCTATACACCAAAGATGACAAAAACTGCTGAAATTAAAGAAAGCACATATAAATGGACCTTATTCATGAGTCAGAAGGCTAGATGTTATTTACATGTCGATTCTTCCCAAATTGATCTGTATATTTGAATCAATCCCAGTAGCCCTTTTGTTGTAGAAAATGACAGATTCTAAAATTCATATGGAAATGTAAAAGATCTAGAATAGTGAAAACAACTCTACAAAAGAATGATAAAGTTGCAGGGCTTGCTAACACTACCTGATTTCAAGGATCATTATAAAGGTACAGTAATCAGAGCATGATAGTGGCATACAGATAAACAAATACATGAACAGAACAGGATAGAGTCCGGAAATAAATCCATACATATATGATCAACTGATTTTTTTTTCTTTTCATTATGGTGAATAACTGGTTTTTGACAAAGGCACAAAGCAATGCAGTGGAGGAAGGATATAGTCTTTTCAACAAATGGTGCTGGAATAGTTGGATATCCATATGCAAAAGAATGAGCCTGGATCCATACCTCCCACCATGCACAAAAATTAATTCAAAATGGATCAAAGACCTAAATGTGCAATCTAAAACTCTACGACTTCTACAAAACCTTTATGACCTTGGATTAGGCAAATATTTCTTAGATATGACATCAAAAGCACAATCCAAAAAGAACAAACTGATAAATTGGACTTCATCAAAACTGAACATTTCTATTTTTCAAAAGACAGTGTTAAGAGAATGAAAAGACAAGCCACAGGACTGGGAGAAAAATACTTACAAAGCATCAATCTGATACAATATCCGTATCTAGACTATATAAAGAAGTCTCAAAACTCAAGGAGAAAATAGCCCATTTAAAAAAATAGGCAAATAATTTTTCTATTAAATTATTTTTATTATGAAATACACATTTTTTAGAATTAGTTTCAACTGTACAACACAGTGCAATAGTTATACTTTTTACCCCTCGAAGTGACAACCCCCCTGCCCCAATCTGCCAACCCATTTCCCCCCAATATCATACATATCTCCACTCCCACACTTAACAGACTCTTCCCCAAAGATACACAGTGGCAAATAAACACATGAAAAGATGCTCAATATCACTGGTCATTAGAGATATGAAAATTAAAACCAAAACGTGATACCGGAAACATATATTGGAATGGAAAAGTCAAAATCCTGACCATACCAAAAACTAGCAAGATTGTGGAGGAGCCAAAACATCCACACACTGCTGGTAGGAATGTCAAATGGTAAGACCACCTTTGGAGATAGTTCGGCAGGGTTTTTGTTTTTTGTCATAAATTTTTCTTTATATAACAATTACTCATACAAAGCTTACTATATGCTACACATTATGCTGGATAATTAGGATATTGGCAGTTTCTTAAAACATTAAACATACACTTATTATATGATCCAGCTATTCCATTCCTCGGCATTTACCCACAAGAAAAAGAAGTACAAATCCATGGAAAGATTTGCACACTAATCTCCATCAGCAGATAAATGGATAAACACAAGGTGGTCTATGCATACAATGAAATATTAAGCCACAAAAAAGAATGAAGTACAGATACATACTATAATGTGCATGAACTTTGAAAATATTATGCTATGGAGTCAATGGAATTATAATAGATATGTATGATGTCGGCGGGGGGTGGTGTATTGGGGGAGGGGCTTGTCACTTTATGAGGGGTGAAAAGTATAACTAGTGCATTGTTTTGTACACCTGAAACTAATAAAAATAATTTTTAAAAGAGCGTTCCCCCATAAAAAAAATTTAAAACATTATGCTGAGTGAAGGAAGCCAGACATAAAACGCCACATATTGCATGGTTCATGCATATACAATATCCAGAATAAGCAAATCCATAGACAGAAAATAGGGTAGTGTTGGCCAGAGGCCCTGGGAAGGGGCAAATAGAGAGTGAGTGCTAACTGGTATGGGTTTTCTTTTAGAGGTGATAAAATGTTCTGGAATTAGATATTGGTGATGTTATACAACCTTGTGAATGTACCAAAACCACCGAATTGTACACTTTATATAGGTGGATTCTATGCTATATCAATATACATGGAACTATATGGATGAATCTTCAATAATTTTGTAGAATGTGTCAGACCGAAAACAGTACATACTTGATTCATTTATGGAAAACTCTAGAAAATGCAAACTAAAATAGTGACAGAAAACAGATCAATGGTTGCTGGGGGATGGAGGTGGGGCAGGAAGAAGGGATTAGCAAGGGGCAGAGGAAACTTTTGGGGGTGATATGTTTACTATCATGATTGTGGTGACAGTATATACATGGCATTTTAGAAATAACACAACCCCTCTCTTCTGCCTTCATAGGCCATCATCATCTTTTTCTGTGTGCATGTCACTTTGTGATGTTTCTAATAGAGGGCATAAAAAGTCATCTCTTGGGGCCCCAAATGTGAAAAGTTGTAACTAGATGGGATGAGGTTATGAGGAAAATCAGAACTCCCAAATGATTAGTGAGCAAAGTTGTGGCATTTAGTCCTCTCGTGAGATGCTGTAAAGAAACCAGAGGACACACTTAGTGTTTCTCCCCTTTAGCTGCTGGTGTCTGGTGATCTTCAGGTAATGAGAACGTTCCCAGAGAAGTGGTAAAAGACCAGGGGCACATGAAGTCAGGTGCTGAGGATCCCTCTGAGTCCTGGGAAGGCAGATGCTTCCCAAGTTTGGGGCAAGTGCCCCAACTGGCATTGATGGAGGGGTAAGCCTTCCAGGAAGTTCCAGCAGCCCCACTGGGCAGTCATGGGAGAATCAGTTCCCAGTAGCAGAAATCAGTCAGACTGACCAAAGCTCTGGAGGGTCAGGTGTACTTAGTATGGTTGTGCGTGCGCATGTATGTGTGTATGTGTGTGTGTGTGTGTGTGTGTGTGCGCCCTTGAAGCACTACAGTACCTGTCTAACCTAACCACTTACCTCCGTCTCCCCCATTTACTCCCTTGTGGCCATACTGGCTTCCCCAAGCACACCTGCAATGGTGCCACCACATGGCCTTTGCACCGTTTCCCCTGCCTGGACTACTCCTTCTCCAGATAGCTGCATGACCCTCCCTCACTTCCTTCTCTTTTGCTAAATGTCACCTTTGTAGTAAAGCCTTCCCTGGCCATCCTATGAATACTGCCACCTGCCCACCCTGGGTCCCCTTTACCCTGCTGTTTCTTCTTTTCCCACCATGGTTCTTAGCACCTTCTAACATTACTAGAGTATTTACTTCTTGTCACTTATCATCTCTCAGCCCCACTGGAATGTCAGTCCGCTTCATAAGGGCAAAGGTCTGTCTGTTTTGTTCATGGCTATACCCTCAGTACATAGAATCATGCCTGGCATACAGCAGGGGATCCATAGATGCTTGTTGAATGAATCAGGGGCAATAGGGGCACTTGATGAGGACCCAACTCCCCCTTATGTAGCTTGCCAAAGTGTTGGGTACCTCTCCATCTGTGTGATGCTACAGACATGGAAGTTAAGAGGCTCCAATGTGGGAGGGAAGCATACCCCTGCTGAGGAAGGCGTATCAGAAGTCTACTTGTACATATCCGCCACCTGAGCTTAGCTGAGGCAGCAGTCCCAATCGCCCCAATAATTCACTTCTCACTGAAAGGCAAAGAAGCTGCTTATTGAGTCTGCAGCCACAAATACCCGGCTCAGTGTCTAGACAGTTTTTCACAGAGGCAGCACCCTGCCAGGGAAACTTCTGGGCATTTGGCAAAAGGGGCAGATGCTTCTTCATCCACATCTTTCTCAGTCCCTCTGATGTGGAAGAAGCCAGTCTGGACAGACTATATGGGTCATGGTCCCCAGCTTTTGAGTGGGGAATTCAGGGGCTCATGGAAGCTGTTGCTACAGTAACTACTACCCAAGGGGCAACCTTGGCAGCAGGCAAATGCTAGGCAGCAAGCCGAGAAAACGGCACAGGCTTAAAGGGTCTTGAGAAACAAGTCTTTGTGCACAATGAAGAAGGGGCAGATTGGGAGCCTTCTGACATTGTCTACACTTCTCAAAATATAAGAAGCCCTGTCCTCAAACTGAGGGACAAGGAGGGATCCTCTCTGGGAAAAGCACAAAAAACCCCAATGATCTGTAGGAGGGGGACCAGGCGCTCTGCCTAGGGCTAGGTGTTCTGGACATGGGGCCCTATTTAAGAACTTAAGGCTCCGTTTCAAAGGCAGGCTGGGAAGAAACATTAACTCCGGAAAACCAGAATCTGATGAAAGATCTATTTTGTATTGTAGTGCATGGAGGACCAGGTGGAAGGACTGTGCAAAACTGCCATGTGAATATGCCATGTTACAGGGCAGACACAGGGGTCCAGTGACCCTCCTAGGGGAGCTTTAAACCCTTCTTGAGGGTGTTACCAAGGTAGATTTATGATTTAGAGAAAGGAGGAAGCCTTCCTGACTGGGTGAAGCTTATACAGTGTAGGAAGCTGACTACTGGATGTGCCAGATTGGGAACTTCTAGACCCTCAACCCTTCCTCCCAAGATTAAAAATACAACCCAGACTGAAATTCAGAGGCAGTGTATGCAATCATGATGGCTCAAGAACTGGAGGAACTGGGGGTGGGGGTTTGTCCCCTGCTGTCTGCCTTAGCAACTCTGTTTGTCTGCTCTGGAAAACAGATGAGTTCTGGAATTAATTATGGATAACAAAAAAGTACATCAGTCTGTACAAGTGTACTTGTTGTTGAGGTTAGTAAATATTGGAAGGTTTTCTAATCACCCCTTACCTTAGGGACACATGGCCATTGATCTGGCCAGCTCATTTCAGCTCTAAACAGCAGTCTGCCTCTACTCAGTGGCAGGGACAGCAGCTTACCTTTACTGCCCTGCTCTAGGGGTAAGTGTTTCAATTCTCCAGCACTGTGCCACATTCTGATCCCTCAGGACTTTATACTGGTAGCCTCATTCAAGTTCCACTTATTGTATCAATGACTTAGCGACTGGGGATGATTTAGAAACAACTGTGCCTAAAGCTCTGACTTCCCTCGCTGATTTTGTATCTCAGACTGTTACACAGGAAAAAGATCGACGATTCTTTGACAATAACCTTTATAAGAATCCAGTTACCTGGAGCAACCAGAGAAATTCTACCTGAGACAGACAAAACTTTTTACCTTCAAGCCAAAGTCTTGGGACTAAAATGAGGGCCCCAAAATTAACTGGCTCCTCTGGAAAGTGGTGCTAACACATCCCATTTGTGGGTAGATGCCTCCCTTCATCCTGACCCCCATCACCAACTCAAGATATCCTCTGGGTGTTTGCTCTGGACCAAATGCAGAAGCAGTGGCACTGCTAGGATCCCTGCTCAAGAAGTTACCCAGGGATGTGGTATTCCAAACTGCGCAGTATCTGCTTAGGGGACAGATTTCATAGCTTCTGTGTTCTGAAAGTGAGCTCATGAGCAAATGGATCCTTTAACTCGTCTGGCAGCCCAAGCAGGGTGGTGGGGCTGAAAAATGGAATGGTTCCCACCTCAGCGCAGCTCGCACCTCCACTCACAGCTCAGCACACCATTTATGAGCTCCTTGTTTTACTAAATAGTTGAAATGGTTTTTATTATATACTAACTGCTGGTAAATACTAGGTTTGTTTCTAGCCTCCCTTCTGGTCTACCCATCACGTGCCCTATCTCCGTCCCAGGGCTTCACTGTAAGAGCCGGATGGAACAATGTCCTCCCCACCTTCACAAAGGCGGGCTTTTCACACTGTACAGAGCTGGTAACCGCCTGGGGGATGGAGTGGATCCATGGGTCAGTCTTCGTCTGAGTCGCTGGGGCCCATGTACTCGCAGACAGCATCATAGTGAAGCTCCACCAGCCGATTCTCTCTCCGAAGCTGCACCACAGCCTTGCTCCGCCCTTTGTCCCGGCTAAGCAGACGGCCCACCTAGAGTAAGGGCGGGTGGAGTCAGCTAGGCCAACCCAGACACTGGGATATCCCCTGCATGCTCCCTCCAACCACCCCCGATTCCCAGGTCTCAGACTCACCCTTCCAGACAGTGGCCCCAGCACCACCATCACCCGGTTGCCCTCTGCCTTGGGGACAAGGGTCTCCAGCATGTCTTCCCTGATTCCTACAGACAAGGAGAAGAGAGTGAGGCCTGCAGCCAGGGCCAGCCCAGCCAGGGTGCTATCAGAAGGGCCTTTCCTGTATTCCCTGGAGCCACTCTGCACCCTGTTGACAGATGGGAGTCCAAGCACACCCATTTCACAGATGAGGAAACCTAAGGAGCAGTTCCTAACAACAGTTGTAGTAGAGGGCGCTCTTATGTAAGATGATAATGGGTGGTGGTGTCAACAGACACTGTTCATCATGGCTATGTTGTAAGCCCTACCCTGCACAGGGAGCTCAAAACACATCCCTATAAGACACTAGTCACAGAGGGAGAAACAGGTCATTTCCATGCTAATTTTGCAGATTGGAAAAGTGGGGCTCAGATAAGAGTCTAATGTTCTGTTAGAGGATGCTGGGCCTTGCAAAACAACCTGAACTCGGGCCTACCTCCCAGACTTTGCCTGGGTAGGCTCTTGCCCTCAGCCAGCCTTCTTGATCAGCCTCTAGGATGATAATGACCCAATGGCCATCCCTCAGACTCACCTTCCAGGACCCGGCCTTCATCTGTCCGACATACACAGGTATCTGGGCTGAGGACATCTTCGATTGTCATCTGGGAAGAGGGTCAGGGGATGTGAGTATGTTAGAGTTAATGGGGCCCAGACCTTGGGTGAGGAAAGGGACCCAGGCTGTGGGGTTCCCACCTTGGTGTTGTAATAATGGCCGCCCTTGTGCAGCTTATCCACAAACCGCACATGCAGGTCCCTGTGCAACCAGTGCTGACGCCTGGGGGCTGCTTTCTCACTCTTGGCTATTGGCTCGTTCCGTCTGTGGAGACCAGACAGACAACAGGCTTAGTCAGACTTGTGTTCTGGTTACCCACCTTTGCCAATGCTGTGAAACTCACCCATAGTACCATTCCTAGTTCCTTCTATGCACTGTCTTGCCCTGGAAGCCTTCTTTGACTGCTGGAGCCTCCCCCCATGCCCACCCTCTTTCACCACCCCAGATGCCCAAAGTCCCACCGGTCTGGAAGGTGTTTCCGTTTCCTCTCTGAGTCCTTCTGCAAGGTGGGGCGGTCCTGATCCCGGAGGGCCTTCCCTGACGAGGCTGTTCCGTTCTGTTGCCTTGGGGACGTTTTGCTCACTTGGCCTATTCAAGGGGGTGTGGGGAGAACCAGGAAAGAACTTCAGTGTCTCTCTCTTTCCTTCCAGGCCACATCTCAGCCTCAGGCCACCTCTCATCTGCCCAAGTGTCCCCTCTCATCATCACGCCTTTACCTGGTCTATTAGAATGCACTTCCCTTCCTCTCAGCAGTCTTGGCTTCCTTCAGGAAGCCTTTATCAATCACCCCAGCCTGCGCTGACAGTGCTTACCTGAGTCAACTGCCTAGTGTGGGCTAGGAGTCCAGGAGAGCTCTGTCGGCACTCCTATCTGCCAAACTGCCCCGTCCTACCAACACATCTGGAATACCTTCCTCTCTGGTCATTACCCGTTCTAGCTGCTCTCACTCCCAAAAGAGTGAGCAAAAGAGAGGTTCATCACCCCAAATAGACAAAGACCTCCCAAGGGTAGAATTGGTTTCCATGCCTGTTTCTTCTCCCTCAGAAAAAGGCTCAAGACCCAGGGTTAGTAGATCAAACTTTCTTCAATCAAACTGAAGAAACCACTATCTTCATTCTCACCATTCTCACCTCCTGACCTCTGAGCAGAAGGCACACCTGCCAGGCAGACCACTGCCCCTCCCTCTGCAGATCTAACCCCCGCAAAACAGGCCCTACCATCCCAGGAATGTTTCTCCAACTCCTCCAGATAGGTAAGAGGCTCACTCACCGAGATGCAAGGAGTTCTTGTCAAACTCCTGCTGGGAGACAGGCCGCAGGCAGTACTCACTAACAGTCACCATGCGGCTCCCCACGGCCAGACGAACCATGGCCCGAACATTGTCAGGATCGAGGCCTTCCACCTAAAATGTAGGAAGTTGAGTGGACTTGGCCTGTATTCCTAGGACCAAGCTGTCCACCCTTACCTCCAATACGCCTGACCCCTGTGCTCCCTCAGCAAACTGTGACCCCTGAGGGCTGAAACTGGGCCTGGCCACTGTATCTCCCTAAGCAGACTGTAACCCCTGAGGTCTGGGATGAGGCCTGATCCCTGTGTCTCCCCTACCAGACTGTGACTTCTGAGGGCAGGGACCAAACCTAGTCCCTATGTCTCCCCCACCAGACTGTGGGACTTATTTTAAGCATTTAATCCCCAGGGACTTGTGGTTATGACATTCCCTCCCTTTCAGTTGCAAACTGAGGCTCAGAAAGGCCCTGAAAGTGATCCTGAGTTACTGAATGAGGCAACAAGCCCGGCAGGCCTAAAAGACAAAGACTTCCAGCCTTTCTACGCCAATCCTAATTCTTTCTCCATCTGAACCTCAAATCAATCTTCTCTGCTGCCTGTCTTGGGTTCCAGGCACATCTTGGTTTCTTACCTTCCCATAGTGGCCTCGGTGAGGGCCAGAAAGAACCACCACAGCTCCTCCAGGCACCAGTCCTTTAGGCTGGTCTTCCTTATCCTTCTCTTGCTCCTCATCTGGCCTTGGCTGGCGGTGGGGACCAGTGGGGGCCAGGGCCTGGACCTCAGTCAGGTTGGCGCCCAGCCCTAACCCCTTGGGCCTCAGTGAATTGACACGGGGCTTCACCACTCTGCAGGGAGCATAGAATATGGGCTTTTTGGGGGATGCCATAGTCTTCAATGCCCCATTCTTTCCCTGAACCCCTGCTCAAATCCCACCCTATCAATATGTTCAAGATTATATTTCCCCATCTCATGTTGGGACAATTTTTGACCTACAGAAATGGCAATTTCATTTGGTTCAACCTAATAACATGCTGTATATACCATCCATTACATAGTATCTACAGTGTAACAAAACACACTAATAGTTCTACAATGGAAATCATATAAATATTCACACCAAACAAAAGAAACTGACTATAAAACATTCAATGTCAATTCAGATCACATTTGGTTGCCAAAGGGTTTATGAAAAAAATGTTTGGTTTTCAGAATTCTTCGGAGTTCAGAACTGTGAAGGGATTGTAAGTCCATGTGATAACAGCAAATGTCTAGTCAATGCTTATTTGGGTCTGGGCCAACTATGCATGCTTTACATGTATAATTTCACTCAACTCTCAACTGGGTCAGTGCTGTTATGATCCCCATTTGTCAGATGAGGAAGCTGATGCCCAGACGGGCAATCTTTCCATAAATCAGATCCCATTATGGAGTTTCAAAGGGTAAATAGGAGTTTGAAGCAGTAGGGGAAGAGAGTGCTGAATTAGTTAGGATGCTAATGTGCCCTTCCCGTGCCTGGATGGTTCTCAGTGGGCAGTAACCGCAGGGATCTTGTTCATTGCCTTGTGTACTGTCCCCTTGCCCCTACCCCAGAACTCACTGATTGAAGGTGCGGCCAATGCCCTGGCCGGGTTTCCAGCCCATGCCCCGCAGCATGGCCAGCCCGTAGGCCTCCACCGGGACTGCCTCATAATTGGCCTCCTCTGGCACCTACATGTTCAGGAGGAGGAAGGATGGTTAGGCTCTGTTTATGGCGGGCCCTCAGAAGTGCATTTGCGACTGCCCACTGAGACCCTCAATGCTTCTTTTCCAGTCAGTTCAAGGGTAACTTTTGATTTCCTCTCACCACCCCTCACTTTACTCCTCCAGTTCAGTCTTTCAACAGATATTTACAAAGCACCTATTCTGTGCCAGGTACTGTTCTAGGTGCTGGGGAGAAAGCAGTAAACAAAACAGACAAAAACTCCTGCCCTTGTGGAACTTACATTCCAGTTGTAGGACACACAATAAAAAAATACATAAAACAGGATATGTCAGGTGGTAATAAATTATATGAAGGAAAATAAAGCAGGTTAAGGAGCTGCAGAATGATGGAGAAGGGAGTGTCACTGAGTTGATATTTGAGCAGAGACCAGAGGTGATGACAGAGAGAGCCATGAGGATATGAGAAGGAAAAGTGTTCTAAGCAGAGAAAACAGTAAGAGAAAAGGTCCTGAGGCAGAACAAGATCTGGTATGTTTGAAAAGCATCATGAAAGTCAACCTGACTGAAATGAGATGTGGAGGCAGACAGGGATGGTGAGAGATTAATTTGGAGAGCCGGGCAGGAGCCACGAGAGGGTGGTAGCCACACGGGGGACCAGTAAGGAAGTAGCTGCAATAGTCCAGATGAGCGATGCTAGTGGCTCAGACCAGCACGGTGGTAGTGGTGATGGGGAGAAGTGTTGAGGTTCTAGATGTATTTTGAAAAGGGATATGATAGGATTCTGCTGACAGATTGTATTGGGGTATGAAATATAGAGGGGAGTCAAAGGTGATGCTAAGGTTTTTAGACTGAGTAAGAGAAAGGATGGATGTAAATGTGATCAACTGAGATGTGGAAGGCTGAGAGAGGAGGGAAAATGAGAGAAATGAGGCCAAAGCTGGAAGAGGATGGAGAATGAAGTGAAAGTCTCTTTTTCTTTTTTATGTTGAAAGAAACCAAAGGACATCTGAAGGCTACTAAGCACAGTTCAGTCAAAAGAGATGGTAGTCTGGGGCTGTAGGAAAATCAGGCTCCAAAGCACTACAAAAACCCCCGAAAACTGTGAATGAAGAGGTGAAAAGCGTGTCCATGGGTATGAAAGACAGACTTGGTTACTTATGTAGACATACCCCTAACCTCCCATCATCACTCTCTCAATTCTTTGTATTCGCTGCAGATACACCATAAGTTGCCTCACTGTCGGACACACACCACATTGATTTCCTGCCATCATGCCATTGTCTGGGTCACTGCTGCCATTAGGAGTACTCATCCTGCTCTTCCCTTTCTCACTAAACCCTACCTGTCCTTCCAGGCCTCACTCCTACCACTCTGGTCTCAGTCCCCATCATCCCTAGCCTGGACTACTGGTCACCTTGCTTCCACCTCTGCTTACTAGTCTGTTCTGTTCACAGCAACCAGAGAAATCCTGTCAAAACATAAGCCATGTCCCTTCTCTGCTCAGAGCCCTCTCATCTCATTCAGAGTAAAATCCACATCCTCACCATAGCCCACAAAGCCCTGCCTAGTTTAGCCTTCCCACTTCTGACCTCATCTACGACTCTTTCCCCTCACTCATCCCACTTGAGTTACATCAGTCTCTTTGATGTTCCTCAAACACTCCAAAGGATGGAAGGAGGGACAAGCAGTATGCCTCTAGTACACACAGACTTCTCCTGCTGTGTGTAGGGAGGCAAGTCTGGCAGGCAGGGAAAGAGAGGCTGGGGCAGGAGAGGGATGAGAGGCCAGCTCACTGTCTCAGCAAGGGGTTTGCTGTCTGGGCCTTCCTCGTTGGGGGTGCATCCTTTCTGGATCATGGGGATAGCGAGCGTGGGGTCGACACCGTCATTCTCTCTCTCCTCCAGAGACTTCTTGGATTCTAAGGAAAAATGGGAGGGATGAATGAGGTCCCCTCCTACCTTTCCATTTTCCTCCTGTTCTTTCTTTACTGGAGCAAGGCAAACGGGGGATCACTCACCCTCAATAAGCTCCTTCACAGCCTGGGACAGCACCCCATCTGCTGCAGCCTCAATATCTGTGGATGGCCCAGGGGCCTGGGTTGGTGGCTGCCTGCGATGGCCACTCTGGATCAAAGGGATGACGAGTTCCTTGAGGGCTTCTGAGGGCTTTACACTAATGTGGACACAAAAGGGTGAAGTTGGGAGAGTAGTATGGTCAATGGGTTGAGCCACACTCCTTTATCCAGAGAAAACACAAGAGCGAAGCTCACCCCAAGTCCCATGGACCATGCCCTCGGTTCTGTCTGGCTCTCCTGTTACGTCTCTGATGGTACTTTATTTGGATTCTCTCCTCCACCCCCAACTCCTCATTGTGCCTTTGAGGAATCAGTCCTCAGTGATGGCTTCCACAATGACCCACAGATCACTATCTTCAGCCCAGATTCTCTCCCCGGCTCCAGGCTCCACACCAGCCTCCTGTATGGTTGAGTCTCTTCTGGAAGTCCCTCCCTCAGACTCTCCTTTCCAAATTAAGCTGATGATGGCATCCCCCAACCTGAATCTGCCGCTCCATCCCATTCCCCCGTATCAGAGAAGCCCCACCGCATCAGTTGAGACATTAGAGATCCTGTAATTCTCTCCTCCTTTCCTTCTCTCAGAACGCACATACCTCAGGGTGCCTAAGTCCTAAAGACACTCCCTCTCAGGAATACATCCTCTCTTGTCAACCCCCACGGCCATCAGGCTGAATTTCTCCACCTGTCCTACAAACTCCCGCCTTCTCGCCTCCACGAATTTCCTCTGGCGGTATTCAGGCTTTCCAGGTCACTGTCACCAAGACAATCAACTCAGATTTCACCCTCCCACCTGCAGCCACCGCACCGACTTTCAAGGGATGAAAGAAAGACTCGGCACTTCACCTCTGCAACTCCCTCCCTTCCACGGTCTTCAAGAAATCCTTCTCCTCTGGAGCCGCACCCGCGCCGGCTCCTGGGCCCGCCAGCCGTCTCCTGGCGGACGTGCGACTAAAGCTGAACGAAATCGGGGCAGTGGAGGCTCCCGCCGGCCGCAAGACACCTTCTTCCGCATCCGCCATCTTGCCCCTCTTCCCAGGCCGGTGAGCTGCTTGCTGGGAAGTTTAGTTTGGGCTCGGGTTACCCGGGGACCAACAACTAGCGCGAGAACTACCTACCTTCCCACAAAACTCTGCGTGAAGGCGGGCAGTGGGAAGCAATTGTCGTGCTTTTTACTTCATAGGCGAGCGTCGCGCTAAGCATACAGGGAAGTGTAGTTCTTTAGGGAGATAAGCGTGGTAGGAGGCTGATTCATTCTTACCTGGTATTCATTCCTCCGTGTAGGCCAGCGGTTCTCAACCATCCTAATGCTGCGACCCCTTAATACAGTTCCTCATGTTGTGGTGACCCTCCAACCATAAAATTATTTTTGTTGCCACTCTATAACTGTAATTTTGCTACTGTTATGAATCGTAATGTAAATACCTTTTTGTTTTCCGATGGTCTTAGGCAACCCCTGTGAAAGGGTCCTTCGACCCCCAAAAGGGTCGCGACCCACAGGTTGAGAACTGCTGGTGTAGGCGTTTGACAAGTTTTTATTGATCGCCTACTGTGTGCACATTACTGGGCCCTACTGGTGTGGGAAGTGTAGGTAAGATAAATTGTTTAAGAAAAAAATGTGAATGCCAGTTGTGTACAATAATAAATAATAATAGAGCCATGTAAATGGTTCCTACCGATACCAGATCTAATACTGAACAAGCTCTGGATTCAAATATTAATAAAAAATGCATCTCCTCCTTTCTAGAGGCTCGTAGTGCAGTGGGGAACAATGACATTTAAACAAATATTTAAAAAATATTTCCTATCAATATTAAATATGTTGGGAGAGCCAGGTCCTGTCTTCAAAAGATTAATTAGACAGGTTCCTCTTGTGTATGACCTTAAGAGTGTGTAAAGTAGAAGACTGTTACTTAAACCAATAGTCACAAGAAAAACTACTACAAATCTACAAAAAGGTCATCCCAAGGAAATCACTGAAAATGTGCAAAAGGATTTTTATGAGAATCATCATAGTATTATTTACTGTAGCAAGATCTTGAAGACTACTGAAATGAACAACAGAAGGGGATGAGGCAAAAGGAATTATTGTATATGTCTTGGATGGAAATCATATACTTGAGCCTTTAAATGTGAAGCTATAAATGTAACTAAATGAAATGGTGATATAGTCACAATGTTTGGAAAGTAGAATTGTATGGTGGGGTCAGAGGATGGTTTTGAAAACAGGAAGCCCAATATTTGATCAATCGTGTGGCCATGTTTTCAGGCTTAGAATCCCTAGGCATCCTGGAATGGGCCCTGGAATATCAAGAGAGAAGCCACGCTGTTTTTCAAAATATACAACTGATACGGGCCAAACAAAAGGGCTTCTCACTATAGAAACTCTAAGTTTTCTTTTCCCTAGTGTTTTGGCTCCATAGCCCCTGGTTATAATAATTTTTCAAATCAGTTCCTTAATCATTAATAATAAATTGTTTTAACCTTACTCATTGAACTCTCCTACCCCCTGCTTTAGGTAATTACCCTAAAGCTTGTGATTAATTTATGTTGATTATTGGACATTGTGGCCCAGCGTTCTTTCCAGTCCTAGCTCCCAGGTGAACAATAACTGAATAACCAGTTAAACTAGAAGGCCATAGGCTCCATGAAGCTGAACAATTTTTCTTCACACAGTCATCCTGCGCCAATGGCTTTGAGCCCTGCTTCTTGGGCCAACACTTTTAACTCTGTTAACTAAAATCTATCCTCATCTATGGGCTGTTGGGATACAAGTGATGCCCCAGCAAGACTTCCAGTACATCCTGACCACAGAAGTCAACATGATCCTCCAGGCAGATCTCAAGACCCCTTCCCCTCATCTAAGATCAAATGGGGCGAGAGTCCCGTGAATGCCCGATAGGCAGGGACAACGACCACATTCAGCAGGAAGCAGATATAGAAGAGGAGATCTCCTGTCCCTTAACTTCCCATAGAGATTTATGGGGATCATGTCTCTCAAGGGGGACATAATGTGGGCAGTTAGAGATAGGAATTGGGTCTCTGAGAGGCCTGGATATGTCAGGTAATATTCCTACACTTCCAACACAGTCTACAGGAAATTACTGCCCAGAAGTCCTCCGCTCTCCACCCAAACTTGTCCTTGTTTACCATAACCATTAGCCATTATCAATCACAGGTATCAATCAAGCAGCCTCACAATTAGAGAGGAGTAGCCCATTGTAGAAAGAAAAGGGATAAAACCCACCAAGGCCCCGTTAGTTGAGCCCTTGAGCAACTCCCTTCTCTTGGCCTGCTCCCATGTCTTTGGAGTGTGCTTTTGCTTCTAATAAACTGCTCTTTCACCACTGTATTTCTGTGTCTCGCTCAATTCTTTGCTCGAGACGCCAAGAACCTGGACACTGCACTAAGAAGGGCCTGTTCTCTGGCAACACAACAAAAAAATCTTTTAATTTTTATTTTGAAATAATTTTAGAATTAAAAATAGTACAGAGAGGGGTGGCCGGGTGGCTCAGTTGGTTAGAGTGCGAGCTCTGAGCAACAGGATTGCTGTTTCAATTCCCTCATGGGCCAGTGAACTGCACCCTCCACAACTAGATTGAAGATAATGAGCTGCCAGTGGGTGGCCGGATGGCTCAGTTGGTTAGAGCATGTGCTCTTAACAACAAGGTTGCTGGTTCGACTCCTGCATGGGATGGTGGGCTGCCCCCTGCCCCACAACTAGATTGAAAACGGGGATTGGACTTGGAGCGGAGCTGCGCCCTCCACAACTAAGATTGAAGGATAACAACTTGACTTGGAGCTGATGGGTCCTGGAAAAATCACGTTGTTCCCCAATAAAGGTTTAAAAAAATAGTACAGAGAGTTCCTGTATATTTTTTATCCACATTCCCCTATAGGATAGTTAAGAAGATTGATTATGTGCTCTCTTGAGGGTGGTTACATTTCAGGGGTCTGAAAAAGAGACATTTCAAAGGCATGTTAACTTAGATGCACACAAAAAATGGACGGGGCTTGCTTAAGGCAAAGATAAACCTTTTACTAAATAAGTTATATGCCCGGGGTGAGACTACTCACCATGACCTAGCCAGTTAGAAATTTATGATCAATCACCATATGAGGTTACTTTCTATTAGATTTATTACAGTGCTCCCCTTTTATTTATCCAAAAGGGCTTTGTGAGCAAATAAGAAGAGGCAGGTATCGCCATGATAGCAACAAGCAACACAGGAAAGAAACAGCTAAGAAGAGCCCTTCTAAGGTCAGAGCAAGCTACAGAGACTACCCTCAAAGACTACCCCATACAAAGGGCCTGATTTTAATTGAATAAAACTATGGAACAAATTATGTCCTAGGGCATTGTCAAAAATTAGTGGAGGTTAACAGCTGGGTATGGTATCAATACAAGCACACCAGCCAGAAATTAAACTAGGAGATCAGGGAAAGAAACAAAGAGAGCCTGAATAAAAGAAAGGTCATTTCAGGGTGCCTGTGTTCATGTCCAAGGCTGAACCCTCTTTAGAGGGACATCAGGTAGAAATAGATTTGACTAAATTAGTCTAACCAAGTCATTAAACAAATAAACAAGCAAACAATAACAAAAATGGGCAGACAGTTAAGAACTCACACAAGAGTGCGAGCTCTGAGCAACAGTGGTTCGATGCCCAGCCCGAGCTGAGTTGCCGCTGAGCTGCCAACAGGTAGCAGGATGGCTCAGCTAAAAAAATTTTAAAAAATGGGCAGGCAGATCAGTACCTAGAATTGATACAATGTTATATAAGATGTCCAATTTCAACAACAAAAAATACGCTACATACAAAGAAACAAAAAGATGTGACCTATATGTGGGGGTTGGTGGGGAGAAGGAAACAGAAACTGCCTGTTAGAGGGCCCAAATGTTGGACCTAGCAGATACAGGTTTCAAAGTGGCTATTAAAAATTTGTTCAAAGAAGTAAAATAAATCATGTATAAAGACTTAAGGGGGGCCGCCGAGTGGCTCAGTTGGTTAAGAATTAGCTTAAGAGTGCGAGCTCTGAGCAACTGGGCTGCCGGTTCGATTCCCACATGGGCCAGTGAGCTGCGCCTGAGCTGAGCTGCTGCTGAGCTGCCAATAGGTGGCAGGATGGCTCAGCTGGTGAGAGCACATGCTCCTAACAACAAGAATGCCTGTTCGATGGTGGGCTATACCCTCCCGCAACTAAGACTGAATTCAGCACCCTGAGCTGAGCTGTCACCTGGATGGCTCAGTGGATAGAGCATGTGCTCTTAAAAACAAGGCTGCTGGTTTGACTCCTGCATGGGATGGTGGCTACACACACCCGCAACTAAAATTGTAACACAGCACCTTAAGCTTAGAGGCCACAAGCTGCCATAGGGCAGCCAGATGGCGACTGGCGCCCTCCACAACTAAGATTGAAGAACAACAACTTGGCCGGTCCCCCTCCCCAGTTCCCCAACACTGTCCCTCCCCCCAATTCCCCAATTAAAAAAAAAGACTTAAGGGAAGGTATGATAACAGTATTTCATCAAATATAGAATGTCAATAAAGAAATAAAATTTATCTCTCTCTCTCTCTCTCTCTCTCTCTCTCTCTCT